ACAACATAATGTAACAACATACTCTTAATTTTTGAAGGGAAAATAGAATTAAAATACTGGGCTTATACTAGAATTAAAATCATACAAGGTTCTTTTTTTTTTTTAGAAGATTTTATTTATTCATTCATGAGAGACAGAGAGACAGAGAGAGAGGCAGAGGGAGAAGCAGGTTCCCAAGGAGCAGGGAGCCCGATGCGGGACTCGATCCCAGGACCCTGAGATCATGACCTGAGCTGAAGGCAGACGCTTAACCGTCTGAGCCACCCAGGCGCCCCAAAATCATACAAGGTTCTTGATTATTTAGGAATAAGGTAAAGATATGAATTTCAGCTTTTGTTAAATCAGCATGCTAAACTAGCTAGTTTAATTCTCTTAATAATAAATACAAGCACACATACTTTCCAGCCAATTAGAGAGAAATGGAATTAGAAAAAGAAAAAAAATCAATTCAAGAGAAGGTAAAGCAAGAAAGAGAAAAAAAGTAACAGTAATAACTGGGGCGCCTGGGTGGTTCAGTCGGTTAAGCATCTGCCTTCGGCTCAGGTCATGATCTCAGGGTCCTGGGACCAAGACCCTCATAGGGCTCCCTCCTCAATAGGGAGTCTGCTTCTCCCTTTCTTTCTGCCCCTCCCCCCATGCATGCACACAAGCGCGCGCACTCTCTCTCTTCTCTCTCTCCAATAAATAAATAAATAAATAAAATCTTAAAAAAAAAAAAAAAAAAGAAATGGTTTATTGCCCTCTTTAACTCACAATAAATTCAGGCCCCACCAGATAGGAAGCAGTGGCTCTTCTCGCTCATACCAGAGCCTGACAAACTTGGAGGCCACTGAGCAGGGTCAAAGCAAAGCCTCCACCCAGAGGAGACTTGTTGAAGACACCCTTCCCAGACAGGGTGGAAAGAATTCCAGAGGCTCTTGGAAGAATTGGCAGGCTCAGAGCTCTGCACCAACACACTGCTAGACAGTATGTATGTAAGCTGCCAAACCAACCCACTCTCCTTTCCCCCAGTTACACAAAGACTTTTCAAATACACCCTTCTCAGCTGAATGTCTTGAATATTAAACTTCTTGAATGAGTGGAATGAATGAAATAATGAATGAAATAAATTCTAATTCATAGATGCGAATGAGTGGAATGAAATAAATTCTAATTCATAGATGCGAATGCCTACGCTTTGTGCATTTTACACACGTTGTGATCAATGCCCTCCAGATCTACTTGTTGCAGAGGGAACTTGGGTATGGAAGATAACTGGCTCAGCTTCCAAAGATAAACCTGGTAGGTGTGATAGCTGCTGAGGGAGAAGGGCAGAGAGCCTCCTGGGAAGACCCTTTGAATTTGGGTGTGGTGTGAGTCCTTCGGTTCCCAAGTATGGTTTCTATCTAATCTGCCTTGAAACTGCTCTGCTGATTGACTCTTTTATCAATAAAAAAACTGCTGAACTAAGGTTCCTCCTCTGAAGCTCTTAAAGATGGGGTCAGCCCTGTCAGAAAGCAGTGTTGTAGCAAAAGGATATGTGTACAAGGATGTTCACCAAAGCATTGTTTAAAACTGTGGACTATCAGTAAACACACATCAGCAAAGTTGTGGGCACATCCATATAGCATAATGCTAGGATTTTGACTTATTGCAAAGCAAGTCTCTATGCGGCATATAAACTATGATCCTATTCTGGAAAAATCAATAGTAACAATAATAAAGTTAGCACATACAGGGAAAAAAAAGGAGGAACGTATGCCAAAATGTTAGCAATGATTATTTGGGGTTGGGGTGAAGTGGGATGGAATATGGGGAGACATTTCTCCATTTCCTGACCCCCTGGTCTTGCTGTTGCACCCTCTCATTAGCCAAGGTGAGGTTTTGGTACAGAGCTGCATTCATGGTCAAATGGTTTTTCCTCAAGACAGAGACATTTTCGTTCCCTAGCTGCAGATATTCCACAGCCTGCAACAGTAGCTCATTGCCTTCATTCACTGATAATGCTCTGTTTGTTCTCAGTAGGACATGTACCTGTAGGCATTAACATATTAAAATACTTGAGCTATGGGGCGCCTGGGTGGCTCAGATGGTTAAGTGTCTGCCTTCGGCTCAAGGTCATGATCCCGGGAGTCCTGGGATCGAGCCCCACATCAGGTTCCTGGCTCAGCGGGGAGCCTGCTTCTCCCTCTCCCTCTGCCTCTCTCCCTGCTCATGCTCTCTCTCTCTCTGTATCTCTGTGTCTCAAATGAATAAATAAAATATTTTAAAAAAATAATAAAATAAAATAAAATACTTGAGCTAGCTCACTGTAATATTTGACCACCAAATTTGAAATTTATTTATGTGTTATTTTTGGTTAAATTGATAAAGAAGTCATGTTATTTTTTCTACTTTAGAGTTTAAATTTTTAAAAAGTACTCAATATGTGAGGATATTTATTGCAACTGAGAATTTCAAAGTGCTGAGATTAAAATCTGATATAGACTACTTGTTCACAGCTTTAAGTTTCCTGTAGCTCTTTAAATTTTAAACATGTCTACCTGCATACAACTAGAAAAGTTGACCCCAAATATTGCCTCAGTTTCCTGGATGTTACTAAGGAGTGTATGTCCTTTTACTTTGTCTTGAGACCCAGCCTAACAAAACTTGGCATATTTTCATAGGGTTTTTTTGGCTTGCAATTTATTTCACTCATTCCACTCATTCAATAAACATCTATAATTATCATTGGTATTAAAAACAATAGCTCACATTTAATAAGCATTTTCTACTTGCTGGTAGTTAATACCAGCTAACATTTCATTTCATTACCTGCTGCTTTTAAATTAAATGCCTTCTTTTTGCTTGGCATTGGGGAGGATGCAAAGATAACCTGGGCCCTGAAGATATATAAATAATCCAAATATGGTTCTGTGCTCAAAAGGAGGGTCAGATACCAAGTTATGTAATTCCTAGACTGAATAAGTGACTTCCCGACAAGGAAATCAAGGAAGCTTCACGAGGGAGTTGGCATTATATGTGAGTCTTTAAGCGAAGGATTTGGTCGTCTGGAGAAGAAGGAGGAGGGACATTCCTGATAAAGGCAGAAAGGCAGAGATAGGACTCTGCAGGGCATGTGCTGGGTCCTGGGTATAGTGGGGGCTAAAGCATGCGGTATATGAAGGGAATACACAGGAAAGAAGGCTCAAGGGGCAGATGCAAAGAATGTTCCTATTGTAAGGACCAGTGAGTCATTTATCCCAACACCCTCATTTTCCAGATGAAGGCACTAAGGCCTACAGAAAAGGGAAACCCCCTCAGTTATTCAGTAGTGGGGATGGAATTAGACTTTGCGCTCTCTTGGCTCCCACGACTGAGCTTCCAGTTATGCTGGGACAGATCAAGGAGGGCCTAAAACGCCAGGCTAGAGGTAGGTGGCCATCTCAATGCAGAGGGGAGCCACTGAAAGTTTTGAGGAGGATGTGACTAGCAAAGGGGATTCAGGGACTAAGATAATTTGAAGGTTTCTAGGCTAAGTGACTGGGAAGCTGGAAATTATATTTTGATAAATGGCTTCTGTTAACACAGAATCAGATCTAGAAAAAAATGATTAGTTCAATTAAAAACAATTGGTTGTTCTCAAAGTAACTATTTGATTAATGTAACCTCTTTTAAAATGTCATGTGTTTAGACCCATTCTAGTTAAAGAGTAGGTTAAGGAAGGTTGGAGCAAGCGGGCATAGTCTGTAATGGGTATCAAGTGCTCGATTTATCTCCTCAGGTTTTTTCTGCCCTTGGGAGACAAAGATTCTATCAGTTGAGTCCACACCTTCATATACTTTGTATTCTCTTTCCATTTGAAAAAGATAAAATATCGACTTCTTTTTTTAACGTTTTTTTTTTTAATATAAGTTTATTTTGGTTACATTTATTTTTAGTTCTACTTTCCTCACAAGCAGCATTTCCTAGTATCGCATGAGATAGCAAAGAGGATCAACCTAAGAGGTCACCTTTGGCCACAGACACATAAAACCTCCCCAGTCAGCAACATGAATCTCATTCCCTTCATCTGTAGAACTACAGACCAGAGATGCACTTCACAATCACTGGCGCTCTCAAGGGGAGGCAAAGAGCAGAGGGTCAGACTGTCTGGGTTCCAATCCCAGCTCTGCCACTCATGAGTCCGGAGATCTTGGATAAGTCATTCAATGTTTTTGAAGCTGATTCTCGTCTGGAAAACAGAGCTAGCTAATGATAACTCATCCTGGGTGTGCTCTGGTTGTGAGAATTCCTAGACAACGGGCCAATAATGCTGACCACAGTGCCAGGCGCATAGTAAGCATCTTGCTCAACCTTAAGCTGTATGAATTGTCTCGCCCACACCTCAGGACTGACAAGTGGCTCAGACAGCGGCAGCATTTCTGAAAGGAGTTGTCGGTTCCCAAGTAACTAGTACCCTTATTTTAGATGTACTCTAGAACTAAAGATGTAACAAAACCACTTCACAGTTTACTACTCCTGGGTAAACTGTTTTGAGAACATTTCCAAGAGCCTTTAAGAAAGATGTCTATTTCCACATCTCTGATTTATGTTAAACTATCCGCCCAATGCAAAACAGACCCTCTCTCTCCCTCCTAGTCTGGCCTGCTTCCCAGCTGTTCACATTCCCTACGGGATTGTCAGAAGCTCCACACGCTGCGCGGGCGCTGGAGGAAAGTAAATAGTTTAGCCAGGCAGGCACCCCACCCACCATTTTATTTTCCTAAATCACTCCTTTAGCTAATATTTCAGGGACAGACACGCGACGCATCTGGCTCCAACCAAATATTTTCAGTCAGTCAGATTCCAAGGTAAATATTTGCCACTTTGATTGCAGCAACAGTGGTAGCGGGAAACAAGGAGCCACTTATCAACCTTCAATCAGGGCCCGCCTGGCACTTCGGTGACGTGACCTGCCCCCTCCCCGTGAGCCCCCGCGCGGGTCCCGCCTCCGCGCTTCCGGTCTTGCGGTGACGTGACCTGCCCCCTCCGCGTGAGCCCCTGCGCGGGTCCCGCCTCCGCGCTTCCGGTCTTGCGGTCTTGCGCCCTTGGTGTCTGAGACGCTCTGAGGCCTGGGTGTCTTCGAGGCGAAGCCTTGGTAAAGTCAGGTAATGGGATTGCTGAGCTGCTTCCTTAGCCAGATCCTTTCATTTTTAGCAGGTGCTGTCTTTCCCTCTCTTCACGACTGACTTGTCAAAAGGGTGTTGGTTGTGGACGAGAAACACCAGGGAAGGGTTAAGGAAGTCGCCTAGACGTGTGATTGGGGCGGAAGATGTCCCGCTGAAGCCTGTACCTATCACTTCAATTGCGTCCTTAATAGAGGTTTTTTTGTTTTTGTTTTTTTAATTAGAAAGTGCCCGAGCATGAAGGGGCGGGGGTAGAGGGAGAAGCCGACTCCCCACTGAGCAGGGAGCCTCATGGGGGTTCAGCACCCCAAGATCATGACCTTAGCAGACGCTTAACTGACTGAGCCACCCAGGTGCCCCAAGAGACTCAACATTGGCCCAAAGTTTTTGAGCTACAATAAATAAACTGCCCAGGGCTTTTGTCTTATGTCCTTTGCACTTCTGTGAGAATGAATGTATTAGTGTTTTTCTTATGCATGCATATTTTATGCAGGAAGAATAATAAAGAGGGATGAAGACACAGGAAAATAGCAGGTGGGGTGGTTTTGCCTTATTCTGTGGCAGGGTTTTTAACCTTTTTGGAGTCCTTCTGAGACTATGAAAATTAAAGACCCTTTGTTTTCCCAGGAAAGGATATGTGAACACAGTATTTTGCCTATGACCAGAGGAGATTCATGGATCCCCAGAACCCATCTGCAGACTCCTATGGGGGGAGCCACGGACCCAAGATTAGGAAACCGTGGATTTTAGGTACATCATGCCCTTGTGACCTGCACCCGACATTCCTTGTCTTGCCCAGGCAGGACTAGGGTGAAAAAAGTCAGGCACTCGCCTTGGGCACAAAATTTAAGGGGGCATCAAAAAGTTCAGAAATCAAGATAAAGTTTTAGTGCAGTATTTTAAAGGATAAAATCTGCAAACTATGGCTGTGACTTGTCAATCTTTTTTTGTAAAAAAAATTTTATTGGAACCAGGGCCAGGATTAGAGCAAGATGGGTGAGGCAGGGTTGTACAAATGCAGGTCCAGATTCTGTCTTTATTTTGAAGTTTTTATATTTTGTATTTTGTTCAGTTTTTTATCTTTATTTATTTTTTTTAAATTTTATTTATTTTTTTGACAGAGAGGGAGAGCGAGCAAAAGTAGGGGGAGCGGCAGGCAGAGGGAGAAGTAGGCTTGCCGCTGAGCAGGGAGCCCGACTCAGGGCTCGATCCCAGGACCCTGGGATCATGACCTGAGCCGAAGGCAGTCGCTTAACGACTGAGCCACCCAGGTGCCCCTCAATTTTTTATTTTTAAATAGTGCATTAAAATACTGTTTTGAATACTGAGTTTTTTTTGACCCCCTCTTCTTTAATTTTGCACCTGGCACTAGTGTCTCCTTTGCTTACCCTCAGTCCTGCTTGTGTCCGGGATGCTGTTCAAGTACAAACCAAGTGTACGTGATCACTTGCCCTGTGCTAGGCCCTGAGCTCCCAGATTTCCAGAAAGGAGGGGTAGTGGGAAAAACTCTGATCTGTCAAAAGGGTTGATGTGTAGTCCTGGCTCTGTCATGTCCTGCTGGATGACCTTGGCCAGTGAACTTAGCTTTTCTGAGCCTCTTTTTAATTGCAGAATGAGAGGGTGAGACTGGGTACTTTCCAGTTCTGGCAGTCTGTGGTCCTAGGACTTTGAAAAAGGCAGCTAAGCCAAATTGTTCTCTAGAAAACAGAGTCCTCAATGAGCACCCAGTTCCACATCCCAGTCCTCTGGGTTCTCTTGATTTGCCTTCTTGATGGAGGGATTTTGCATTCTACAGACTTTCATTTGTCTCCGTGTGAGGGCCCAGACCATCAAATCTCTTCAACTTGAGTACTGATTGGTAGAGTCAAAGATCTTGAGAGCTGATGAGTAAAGTGCAGAGAGATGATTTAGTTTTAAGGAAAATGAGGCTCAAATAGGTGAAGTCAGTTGGCCAAGGTGGCACAGTGTCAGATTTAGAACTAAAACCCCAGTGCCTGATTGCCATCAGGTGGGATATAATGCATGCCTTTCTACTTCTCTCCAGAGAATTTCCTAAAAGTACTTTCATAAAAGTACTTTCCTAAAAGTACTTTAGAATTTCCTAAAAGTACACTCATAATATTCTCTCTGATTCCTGTGTTTTATTAGTTTCCTTGTTATGATGCTGCTCCTAGAGCTGGGGGATTGGGAGCCAAAATTCTTGATCAATGTCTTAATCCTTAGGTCTTCTTCCCTCTCCCAGACTCATCTTGGATTTAACTTCTGTGGGGATTTTTTAAACTGCTACAAGGCATATAATCTTAGAAAGCTAACTTCCTCTGTGTTTCTTTTGAAAGATATTTTTAAAACTGGAGAGAACAAGTGATGCATAACAATCTGTAAGGTATGTACTGTTATTATTGTTATTTTACTAATGAAGAAATTGAGGCACCGAGGGCTAATTAACTTGCCCCAAATCTCGCAGTTAGGTATCAGAACCAGGATTCAAATCCAGGCATCCTGACTCCAGGGTCTGTGCTTTTTTAACTAGACACTGTGTGGCTTCTCTTGTGGACCATTTCACCTGAGCTTGAACAATTCAAAGGACGGAAAGCTATCTCAGGAGATCCTAGTTCTGTTGCTGGGCAACCTCTTCTATTGGAATGTCTTCCTTCTATTTGTTGGAACAAGCTATATAACAAGACAGTTATCCAAAATGGTTTTCTGTTGTCTAAATAAGAAGATAAAAAGGTGAGTGAAGAACACAGAGTAAAATCTCGCAATCTATCCTGGTCTCCACCAAACATTCCTGACCCACTCACTTCCAGTTATGTGGGCTTCCTGAAAAAACACAAAGTTCCCTCTTTCAGTTTTGTGTCTATTGAAAGTAAAATCCCCATCCTATGTGTTTATACCTTGTTCTGAGAAAGATTTAGTTTGGCCCACATGGGTTAGAAAGTATGATTAAGTAGCATAAATTAAAATTGTATGACACGATCCAGCAATTTCACTTTTAGGTATTTTTCCTTTAGAAATTGTTACAGGAGCTTACCAGGATAAATATTCAAGGGATTTTATTTCATTTTTGTAATTGCACAAAAATTGTAGGCAATTTAGATGTGCACCAATAAGGAAATGGCTAAATAAATAATAAATTAATGAAGTTGTGAGAGGATTTCAATGTAAAATTGAACTGGAGGATATGAATTGGAGACCCTCATGCATGCTCCCTCAGAAGAATGGAATTTAACTGAGAGACTGATTTCTTGTAAATGCCTGATTTACAGAAGATCAAGGCTTCTCTCCTGACCAAAGAACATCCACCAAGAATCTCTCCCTGGCAGGCCTTACCCCTCTTTGCACTCCTTACTCATAAGTACAGCCTGCCCCAAATCCTCGAAGGACTCACCTGTAGCCTGATACAGCATGTTTCCCAAATTGCAGTTCCCTTTGCAATTCCCAAATACTCAAATTTCTGGTAATTTGAACTTGCCTCAGTTTACCTCCTTGTTTAGGTTGATAGAGTACCTTTTAACTATTTTCAGTGTATGGTATTAAAATTGGTGCTTGATGGCATATCATCTCCATTGTTATCCCAGTGGTAATACAGCAATTTAAAGAAATAAACATGGGGTGCCTGGGTGGCTCAGTCGGTTGGGCATCTACCTTCGGCTCAGGTCATGGTCCGAGGGTCCTGGGGTCGAGCCCTGAGTTGGGCTCCCTGCTTAGTGGGGAGTCTGCTTCTCTCTCTGCCTCTCCTCCCTGGCTTGTGCTCTCTCTATTGCTCACTCACTCTCTCTTAAATAAATAAACGGAATCTTAAAAAAAAAAACAATACTTTTTTTCTCATTCAAAAGGTTATTGAAGAAAATATGGAAAATAATAAAATGTAAAGAAGGAAACAAAGAACCTATAATCCTACACCCTAAAGATAACCACTGTGAACCTTTAAATTTATTTCTTTCCCATCTTTTTTTTAGGTGCAGTACTTTTTTAGTAGATTTTTTGTGATAAAATATATATAATATAAAATATATTATTTTAAACATATTTAAGTGTACAATTCAGTGGCATTAAGTACATTCACATTATTGTGCATCTATCATGACTATCCATTTCCAGAAATTTTTCATCATCCCAAACTGAACTCCGTTTCAATCAACAATAACTCCCCCATTATTCTCTCCCCCAGCTCCTGGTAACCACTATTCTACTTTTTTTTTTTTCACTATTCTACTTTCTATCTCTGGATTTTGCTACTCTAGTTACCTCATGTAAGTGAAACCATACAATATTAATCCTTTTGTTTTTGGCTTATTTCACTTAGCATTATATTTTTAAGGTTCACTCACATAGTAGCATGTTTAAGAATTTCCTTGTTTAAGGGCTGAATAATAGTCCATTGTAAGTTGTTGAGTATTAAATGAGATAATAAATGTGAAGCATTTAAGAGCAGCACAGAGTACTACAAACAAACACATTTTGTTTATTTATTCATTGATGGACATTTGGATAATTTCTACCTTTTGGCTATTGTGAATAATGGTTATGAACATAGTGTACAAATATCTGTTCCTGATTTCAGTTCTTTTGGATATATACCTAGAAGTGGAATTGCTGGTTCATATGCTAATCCTATGCTTAATGCTTGAGGACTACCATACTATTTTCCACAGCAGCAGCACCATTTTAAATTCCTATTTGCAGTGCATAAAGGTTCTGATTTCTCTGCATCCTTGACAACATTTGTTATTTACCATTTGCAAAAAATAATCTTTATCCTAATGGGTGTGAAGTGGTATGTCATTATGGTTTTGATTTGCATTTCCCTAGTGATTAATGATGTTTAGCACCTTTTCTCAAGCCTCTTGGACATTGTTTATGTTCTTTGGAGAAATAGCTATTCAAGTCTTTTGCCCACTTTTTGACTGGGTTTTTTGGTATTAAGTTGTAAGAGGTTTTATATGTTCCCAATATCAGTCCCTTATCAGGTATGTGATTTGCAAATATTTTCTTCCATTTTGTAGAGAAAAGTGCCTTTTCTTTCTATCAGTAGTGTCCTTTGATGCACAAAAGTTTTTCATTTTGAAGAAGTCTAATTTATTTTTTCTTTTGTTGTTTGAGCTTTTGGTGTCATATCCAAGAAATCATTGCCAAATCTACCGTCATGAAACTTTTCCCTATATTTTCTTCTAAGAATTTTTAGGTTTCACATTTAGGTCTTTGATCCATTTTGAGTGAATTTTTGTGTATGGTGTAAGATAAGAGTTCAATTTCAATCTTTTGCATGTGGATATCCAGTTTTCCCAGCACCATTTGTTGAAAAGACTTTCCTTTCTCTGTGTTTTTATGTTTTAGTGCTTTTTTGATTCCAGACTTACTCCTTTTGGAGCCCAGGCTGCTCCTCTGGGTTGTCCTCACCCTCATTGGTTTGTACCCTCAAGGGATTGTAAAGTTATTTGACTGGGAACGAAGAGAAGATATAATGAACGTGAATCTAGTGCAGAAGCATGGTGGCCCAGCAGAGCCTAGTGAAAGTGATAGTTGATATATTGCCTATAGTGATCTTGCTGTAACCTTGGCTAAACCTATTTCATTTGTTGTGAAATGGGAATAGTGATAAGAAGACCCACCTTATTTTGTCAAATGATAGCATAAATCCTGGAATATTATTATGGCTAATAGCCATTATTGTGGTTAATGTTTATGAAGAAAGTACTCTGTGCTGCTCTTAAATGCTTCACATTTATTATCTCATTTAATACTCAAAATAGTCTTATGAGGTCGGTGCTATCATTTTCACTGTTTTACCATCTCTGAGCTTCTTTTGTTGTCTGTAAAGTGACAAAAATTATATCTTCCTTGCAGAACTATCAGGAGGATTAAACGAGAGAGTGAAAATAGAGGGCCTCGCAAAGAATACGCACATAGTAGATGCCTAACAGATGGTAGCTGCTTTCCCTCAGTCCAGGAAGTGATTCCAGTAAGCACAAACTATATTAGATGAGGATTCTGCTTTGTTCTAACAATCTTGAATTTCCTGATACTTCCCCTTCAAGGTAAATTATAATGATTATACTGGTCAGATAGGGAAGTCTGATACCATTGATTTATGATACAGGAATATATTCTAGTTACCTACCTGCAAGGCTGAAGTAAAGAGACTTGTTTATTATCAGACGCTAGGAAGACTTCTGTAGACACTCATCTAGGGAATGAACAAGCACAACAGCCCTGGAAACAGCTGGCTATGTATTGTGCGCCAATAGATTAGTGATGTTTTAACACTCATCATTTTGACTGATAAAGTGTCATTTCCCTAAATCTTTCTTCATTTCACTACCTTTTCCCACCTCCTTTATTTATCTTTTTTTTTTTTTTTTCCATCCCTTGTGGTATTTATTTGGTAGAAAAATAAGGTGGGGGCGCCTGGGTGGCTCAGTTGGTTAAGAGACTGCCTTCAGCTCAGGTCTTGATCCTGGAGTCCCGGGATCAAGTCCCGCATCGGGCTCCCTGCTCAGCAGGGAGTCTGCTTCTCCCTCTGACCCTCCCCCCTCTCATGCTCTGTCTCCCATTCTCTCTCTCAAATGAATAAATAAAATCTTTAGGGCGCCTGGGTGGCTCAGTTGGTTAGGCGACTGCCTTCGGCTCAGGTCATGATCCTGGAGTCCCGGGATCGAGTCCCGCATCGGGCTCCCTGCTCGGCAGGGAGTCTGCTTCTCCCTCTGACCCTCCCCCCTCTCATGTGCTCGCTCTCTCTCTCATTCTCTCTGTCTCAAATAAATAAATAAAATCTTAAAAAAAAAAAAAATCTTTAAAAAAAAAGAAAAATAAGGTGGAAGGCACAGTGCTTCTGCTTCACACTAACACATTACAAGCTTAGCCAACACAAGCAGTTTTAAAAATAATGAGGACAGTGAAGATGTACAACTGCCTGAGACCAAACTAGAAAAGCAGGGCTTAAATTAGTTAATACATTAATATAGTCCTTAGTGTTGCAGTTATTCTGGGTCATATTTTCTGGATATTATTTAGACATTCATTGGTTAGATCCAGGCCGTACATTTTCTCTTTGGCTGCAGCTAATACGTTAACTGGCAGTGGGATCAAGTCCTGCTCCTCAGTGGCAGCTGGGCCCTCCCTTGGATCCGATCTACAATCCCTTCACTTATTGCTAATTGACTTCCTAATACCCTCCAGCAGCTGTTGTAAACCTTTTCCACTCTCCTCCATCCCTTTAATCTCCCTGCTCTCCACACAGTGGCAGGTGATCGTGCTTCCGCGATCAAGTCTCTTTCCCACTGCCTTTTGGTCCTCTGCCATCTTCACCTCATGCCCAGGATCCCCTTTATCTCTCAGAGCCTGGCTCTTTCATTTACTCCCTCTCTCCTAGCTTCAGTCTTTCCTCTTCTTTTCCCTTCACACACAAACAAGCTCAAGTCTTCTTCAACCCATAAGAAAGCCAACCATATTTCTCTTGAAGTGAATCATGTTCCTTTTTCAGTACTGTTAAGCTCTTAATATTTTTTTCTCATTACAAAAATAATGTAGTAGAAAATTGGGAAGTACAAAAAATCAAACATGTTTCAGACACCCATAATCACACTTGTAGAGGTAACCACCAATGTTAACATTTTGGTTTATATCCTTCCAATCTTATTTCTAAGACTTTGAGATCTACTTAGACTTAGAGGGCATTCTGGATGTTCTCTTTTGTAACTTGACACTTCTCCTGTGTCAGTATTTTTCTA